GGACATTTTCTCCAGGTGAATGGATCTCTGTCCCCTGGAGATTGGTTGCAATTCCTCCTGGGGGTCTCCAGCTCCCAGCTGGAGGCTGGCAACCCTTCTCTGCCTGGGGCAGCCTTGTGGGGGGTGGGGGGTGGGGTGGGGGTCCACCTTCTTGAAAGCAAGCAAGCACCGTACAAATAACGCAGACCACAAGTGCTCAAAAAGTCATGCAAAAAGAGTAAATTTATATAACAAGAATAACAGAGGACCACATGTATCAGTAAGAAGTTTGTTCGACTGTTGATCGGGTGCCCGGCTATGAATGATTATAATAGGATCGAGTTTTCCCCCGTAATACTGGTCTGAAGGCTTTTATACACTTAGTGTGAACTTCTTGAAGAAGAGCTATCGAAACGAAGATCACAATCCGGAGTCTTCGTCCTTGTCTGTGTACCATTTATGGACTTGCACTATTCATGGACCTGTACTACATGATGTAATTTGGTTTTACTGATACACGTGGTCCTCTGTTATTCTTGTCATATAAATTTACTCTTTTTGAGCACTTGCGGTCTGCGTTATTTGTACAGCGCTTGCTTGCTTTCTGTATATTGTATACTGTGATATCGCACCTGTTTATGTCCACCTTCCTGCAAATCCAGACCTCCGTCACCGTGTTCCCATGGGGCTGCTTGCGGGGGTGGGACCTGCAAACTGTGCCTGAGTCTAAAGCCTGCCTTCCTTCCTTCCTTCCTTCCTTCCTTCCTTCCTTCCTTCCTTCCTTCCTTCCTTCCTTCCTTCCTCCCTCCCTCCCTCCCTTCCTAGTCCCGGCTGCATCTGGTGGCACACTTTGAGGCCACGTGGCTGCATTCGGCTCACGTGCCTTGCTCTTTTTCTCAAGACAGTGAGCAGCGCCAGACCTCCGCACAAGAGAAATGTCTGCTACCCAGAGGAGAATGGAGGGGGCAGCGTGACCGCCGGTAAAAAAAGGCCTCCACGTCATCCAGCTAAAGGTACAGAGTTTGACTTGAAGTTACGGCGTCACATTATCTGAACCCTCTGAAGGAGTCGTCGAGTTCCGGGCCGGAGACCACAAAGCTGTTTTGGAGGAGACCAGTGTTGGGGGGGGGAGGGGAGGGTCGCACAGGGTCTCCGGTTGCCATTTTTGAAGTTGGGAAGGAGTTTTCCTCGGCTTAAGCTGGCTAATACCCTCAGCAGAGGAGGAGGAGGGCTCGACTCAAGTCCAGCAGCACCGTAGAGACGGACAAGAGCCTTGGGGTAAGGGCTCTCGAGAGCCAGAGCGCCCTTCTTGAGATACGGGGGGGGGGAGCCTTGAAACCCCCCCCCCGAGATTCTTAAGAACCCATTAGTTCTTCAGGGGTTGCGTTTTTTATGATGGGGGGGGGGGTGGCGGCTGCGCAGCTCTCCTCGTGGACCCTCTGCGGTTGACGTTGCAGGCCCTGAGAGTGATTCAGGAGAGCCAGTTTGGTGTCATGGTGAAGTGCAGGCGGACTCTAATCTGGGAGAACCGGGTTTGATTCCCCACTCTTCCACATGCACCTGCAGGGTGACCTTGGGCAAGCCGTAGTTCTGACAAGAGCTGTTCTCTCATGGGCAGTCCTCGAAAGAGCTCTCTCAGCCCCACCTACCTCACAGGGTGTCTGTTGTGGGGAGGGGGAGGGAAAAGAATTTGTCAGCCGCTCTGAGACTCCTCTGGGTAGTGAAGGGCCATGGGGTATAAATCCCGTCTCCTCTTCTTCTTCCCATCCCCTGTGCTGCCCTTGGGTTTGGCTCCCTGGCTGCAGGGGAATGGGCCGATCTTTTAGCAGCCTGCCGAGTTTGCCGAGTTTGCACCCTTCTAAGTCCCCTGAAGTCGGAGAGCTCAGAAGGGCGTCGCTCTGCTGTGAACGGCGCAACGTCTCTGCTCACAACACTCTTCTCCTGCCCCTTCCCCGAGGGGCTCTGGGGGCTGTGGGCCTTCTTTCCCTTCCCTCCGTTCGGAGAGACAGTGACGGCCCCGCCCGGAGCCCCCTGGCTGTGAGCCCTCTCAGGCCTTCCCCGTCTGGTCCCTCACTGAAGCCCTCCGACCATCCTGGCTTGGGCTTATGAAGAATGCCCTGTTGTGGGTCTCTCTGTCTGCCTCCTGAATAGAAACTCAGCTGAAAGGAAGGGGTGTGAGCTCAGCCCCAGCCGCCTGAAGCCTGAACCAAAAGGGCTTGTGGTCATAAGAACATAAGAGAAGCCAGTGCTGGATCAGGCCAGTGGCCCATCCAGTCCCACACTCTTGTGTCACACAGTGGCCAAAAATACCAGGTGCCCTCAGGAGGTCCAGCAGTGGGGCCAGGGCACCAGACGACCTCCCACTGCTGCCCCCCCCCCCAGAAAAAAGCACCAAGAATACAGAGCATCCCGTGCCCCAGACTGAACGTTTCTATCGATACCTTGTGGCAAATAGCCACTGATGGACCTCTGCTCCATATGTTCATCCAATTCCCTCTAATAAGAACACAAGAGAAGCCGGTGTTGGATCAGGCCAGTGGCCCATCTAGTCCAACACTCAGTCACATGATGGCCAAAAATACCAGGTGCCATCAGCCAGGATACTAGAAGCCCTCCCACTGTTGCCCCCCCCCCCACCCACACAAATACACAGCATCCCTTGCT